AATATGCTGGGCACGGAAGGACGAATGCTGAGTCTCACTTAGAGGTGGAATCTAAAACAGTGGTGCTCACAGCAGCACAGAGTAGAATGGTGGTTACCGGAGGCTGGGGTAGGAGAAGTGGAGAAATGTGGGTCAAATAATACAGTTTCAGTTAGATGGGGAAATGTTTAGGTTTTGTTTTTCTATTTTTTTTTTTTTTTTTTGTGTGTGTTGTTTTGTTTTGAGACAGGGTCTTACTCTCCCAGGCAGGAGTGCAGTGGTGCGATCACAGCTCACTGCAGTGTCAATCTCCTGGACTCAAGTGATCCTCCTGCCTCAGCTTCCTGAGTAGCTGGGACTACAGGCATGCACCACCACACCTGGCTAATTTTTTATTTTTATTTTGTGTAGAGATGGGGTGGGGTCTTACTATGCTGCCCAGGCGAATCTTGAATTCCTGGGCTCAGGGGATCTTCCTGCCTTGGTCTCCCAAAGTGCTGGGATTATAGGTGTGAGTCATGACACCCAGTCAGGGAGGAATGTTTTTGGAGACCTATTCCCCAGCGTGGTGACTACAGTGAATAATAACGTATTGCATTTTTCAAAAGTGCTAAGAGAGTAAATTTTATGTGCACATGATGAAAAATGACAGGTATTTGAAATGATGGGTATATTAGCTTGATTTAATCATTCCACATTGTATGCATATATCATAACATCACTTTATACCCCACAAATACACTTTGAGCATTCTAAATGTGAAAATCCAAAATCTGAAATACTCCAAAGTTCAAAACTTTTTGAGTACTAACGTGACACTCAAAGGAGATGCTCATTGGCCCATTTTGGATTTTGGATTTTAGGTTTAGGGATGCTCAACTGGTAAGAATATAATGCGGATACCCCCCCAAATCTGAAAAGACCGAAAATCTGGAATACTCCTGGTTCCAAGCATTTTTAGATAAGGGCTGTTCAACCAGTATGTACAGTTTTAAAAAGAAAGAAAAAAATGCAAAGATGGGCCAAGCTTGGTGGCTAACACCTGTAATCCCAGCACTTTGGGAGGTCAAGGTGGGCAGATTACTTGAGGTCAGGAGTTCAAAACCAGCCTGGCCAACATGGTGAAATCCTGTCTCTACTAAAAATATAAAAATTAGCCAGTTGTGGTGGTGCACACCTGTTACTTCACCTGTTATTTCAGCTACTTGGAAGGCTGAGGTGGGAGAATCACTTGAACCTGGGAGGCAGAAGTTGCAGTGAGCTGAGATCACGCCAGCCGCACTCCGGCCTGGGCAACAGAGTGAGACTCCATTTCAAAAAAAGAAAAATAAAAGAAGATGGCTGAGCCTGCCTTAGCCCCTTGGTGCAGCTCCTGTCCTGCCCCTCACTAGCCTCTCGCCCAAGGCTCAGATGGCCTTTCTGGCAACAGAGCCTAGTGCCTTGTGGCAGAGGGTGAGGGTAGTTGTGGGCTGTGCAGGGGCTTCTTGCATAGACTGAGTCCTCTGTGATGTTTGGGGTGAGGGTTTCAGCTGATGGGGGGCTGGGGTCACCCCTTTGCAGCCTGCTCATCACAGGCTGCAAAGGAAGCAGCACTGTTAGGGGGTGGTCCTGCCTGGTTTCTGAGAGGAGGTTCCATTAACTAAGTATCCTCGCTGGGCCACCGTATTTGAACACCTGAGCCAAGAGTCATACCAGGGCAGTTATTCCTAGATCTGTCCATCGTCCCCAAAGGTTTTTAACCTAATTTTGTATTTTTAAAATTATTTTTCTCAAAGAAGGCTTCCCAATTTCTTTCCTTTATTTCTTTTCTTCTGAGATGGAGTTTCGCTCTTGTTCCCCAGGCAGGAGTGTAATGGCATTATCTCGGCTCACTGCAACCTCCACCTCCTGGGTTCAAGCGATTCTCCTGCCTCAGCCTCCTGAGTAGCTGGGATTACAGGCATGCGCCACTATGCCCAGCTAATTTTGTATTTTTTAGTAGAGACGGGGGTTTCTCTGTGTTGGTCAGGCTGGTCTCAAACTCCTGACCTCAAGTGATCCACCCGCTTTGGCCTCCCAAAATGCTGGGATTACAGGCGTGAGCCAGTACGCCCAGCCAAACTTTCTAATTTCTAAATGTCTTAGCTTCACAAAAGTCTGGGTTTGCTCGTGTACAGAAAAATTCAGTGAGACAAGGATAGGACAGCACTTTGAAAGTTATGTCGGACTAATCAGAAGTAAAAGGTTATTTGCATTTATTTAACTCACCCCTTTGTCTTAAAATAGTTACAGGATACCTGACCAACATCTTAACATTCATTCCCTCGTCATTCAGGCAGCAAGTATTTATTGAGAGCCTACAATGTGCAGGCAGTTTTCTGGGTGTTGAGTATAAATAAGTGAATAAGTCCATGTGAATCGGGATTCTTGGCCTATTTATTCTGATGGGGATGGGGGCACAGACAGTACTGTATGCTAGAAGGTGCCATGGAGCAAAGTAAAGGCAGTGGGAAGTGTCAGGGTGGGCAGGTAGGGGTATGATTTCAGCCCTCAGTGGGGTGGTCGGGGAAGAGAGAGAATGGCAGCCAAGGGATGCAGGTGGTGGGGGCCTCTGGGGCAGTGTTCCCTGGAGGAGAAGCAGGAAGTGCAAGGACCTTGGTGGGGCAGGTGTGGGCCTGGTGTTCCAGGACAGCAAGAAGTTTAGGATGGAGCAGGTGAACTAGATCAGAGAGGTGACTGAACTGGCGTGGCCAGATCCTGCAGGGGTTTCCAGGCTGCTGGAAACTTGGACACTGTTAATCTGAGGGAGATGGAAGCCATTGGAGGGCTTTTGAATTTTGATAGGGTCACTGTGGCCGCTCTTAGAGCATAGACTGGGAGCAGGGAGTGCAGGTGGAAGGCAGTGATCCTCATCCAAGCCAGAGATGACAGGAGCTTGGACCCTGGAGGGTTTGGTGGTGCACAGTGGCTGAATTCGGGATACGTTTTGGAGGTAGAGCTACGCCGGACCCATTCATTCAACATATAGGTGCCAGGTATTGGAGATGCAGACTTGAACAGAGGTATAGTCTCTCCCTTTGAGCTGCTGAGAGTCTAACAAGGAAAGACAGACACGGGTAACTGATGAGCACATAACCTGTGTGCAAGGGACGGGCCGTAGGAGCAACAAAGAACTGTATCCCAGATGGTCTTTAAAGTGTCCCTGCCATCCCATCCCTCCTGCTGTCCACCACCAGCGCCATCACTACCTTGCAGCTCTTGGGAACCTCTCTTCCCCCATCATGGTTTTCTTTGCCCCCGGACTAGTCTCTGAGCTGAGTTACCCACGTGGGCCTAAAGCATGTTCATTTTACAGAAAAGGAAACTGAGCCACAGAGTGTTCTCACTGAGTCAATGTTGAGGTCTGTTTCCTGCATTTGTAGAGATTTGGAAAAATCTGGAGGAAAAACCTTAAAGGAACTAGATTTAAGAAGAGAAGGCTGAGTTAAAGTCCTTAAAGGGAAGAGACTTGCCATGCTCCCAAAGCTCATTTGCGGAGCTGCCAGGTTCTAGCCCAGCTCCCCAGCTCTCAGCTCTGTGGTCCTAGTTCCCTGAGCCACCGGTGATGACTTAGACCCGAGAGGTCGCATGAGTGCCTTTAGTTAGACCTAGAGTAGAACGGTTGGCCATTCACTAGACCGCCAAAGCATTTTCCTAGAAAGCTTTGAGAGGAGACATCTTGTGGACTCAGGGTTTTAGGTGTAGATCAGCCCACAGACAATGTCCCCAGACTCTGATTCTCCCCTCCCCCCTTCCTCCAACACAGACAAGGCAGTGGTCCCAGGCCAGCAAACCTTTTCTGGCAAACAATACCTCTGGAGAGTGGCCTCTTAATTTGGCCTTGGCATTGGGGAAAGGTCAGCTGGGGGGGCCAGCCTGGCCTTGGCTGTACACTGTGGTTACAACCCAGGTGGCAGGCAGCACACTCCCCTCACCTCCCCTGGCATCAGCAGCTTCCTCCCATGGACCGACAAGCTCTCCAGGCTCCGCAGGACAAGGCAGGCTGGCGGCTGCTCCCTCTGATCCCCTAAGGTGGAGCAAGAGGTGACAGCGTCCCGATTCAAAGCCTCTTGCTCTGCCTCTTCTCACCTGATGCTTTTCTGTATGATCTAACACTATCCAGGGGTCAAGGGCCACCTGAGGGCTTGCCTGACCACCCATCCCAAGCTGGCCCCTGGTCCTCTGGACACGTCCCTGTCTGAAGCACCCATGGACTCCATTGTGTGGACACATACTGCCCCTGAGCTAGGTGACACTTTGAAATCAGGACCCCTTTCATCATCTTTTTCAATACTGGAAGCCATGGGCACTCCTGGGGGTTTTCCAGGATGCTTCAGGCTCGGCAGCAGTCCCTCGGGAGCCGGGCCCATGGGGAGCACTCAGCCTTGCTGTTGAGGTGTCTGAGTCAGCCATGAGGCTGCACATGTGCACTGACTGGCTTTTCTTCATGAGCAAACGGGCTCAGGCCTCCTCTCCGGGGACTCAGTGTTTCAGCAGTTTTGCCCCCCATGCCCGCTGCTGCCCACGGTCAGGACAAGAAATGTGGACGCTCCTCCTCGTTTACAGAGGCGGAGGGCACTGCGACAGTCACCCAGGGCAAGGCCGACGGCCCGGCACCTCCCTGGAGCCGCCCAAGTGTGCAGAAGGCGCTAGGAGAAAGTGTGGGGAGAGGGGAGGAGGCAGCCAGCGCTGGGTGAGGAATGGTGCGGGGGTCAAGGGAGGCTCTGGGAGTTCCTCAGGCTGTGTGTGGTTGGCGGCCATGGTTCCTGTTAACCTTGTTCTCAGGTTTCAGTCCCCACAGTGAGGCCTTGTCTTCCTCTCGCTGCTGGGAGGTCCCTGTGATCCAGAGAGGGAACCCATAGAATCCTCACCCCACATTTCCACTTAGGATGGGCAGAGAGTGAGGGCAGGGCTCCTCCCAGTGCGGAAGGTACCCTGCACCCCCTCACCACTTCCAGCCTTTTGTCCTTCTCCCTGCTGAGAGGCTGCTGGTGTCTCTGCAGGTCGGAACGAGCTGATTGCCCGCTACATCAAGCTCCGGACAGGGAAGACCCGCACCAGGAAGCAGGTGGGCCTCCCAGGGGTGGTACCCCAGCACCGGCCTGCTCCCAAGGTGGGCCAGGCTTTCCCAGGACCAGGCTCGGGCTTCTAAGGGGCAGCAGCTCTGGATGAGTTATCTCTGTTGGGCATGTCACAGGTGGTCCAGTTTCCTTTTTTGTTGTTGTTTTTGAGACAGAGTTTCACTCTTGTCACCCAGGCTGGAGTGCAATGGCACGATCTTGGCTCACTGCAACCTCCACCTTCCAGGTTCAAGATTCTCCTACCTCAGCCCCCCAAGTAGCTGGGATTACAGGCACCCACTACCACGCCCAGCCAATTTTTTATATTTTTAGTAGAGGCAGGGCTTCCCTATGTTGGCCAGGCTGGTCTTGAACTCCTGACCAAGGTAATCCACCCGCCTCGGCGTCCCAAAGTTTGAGAATTGAGGTGTGAGCCACCACGCCCGGCCGGGTAGTCCAGTTTTCTTGGGGTCTCTGTTGTCATCACTTAGGAGGAAACCCCTTGCCTCTCTGGGGAGTCAACAGCCCCCTCTCATCCTTCTCCAGGAAACTAGGACAGACAATAAAACATTGGCACTACTGTTTTTTTGAGTTGGAGTCCCACTCTCTCTCCTAGGCTGGAGTGCAGTGGCACGATCTCAACTCACTGCAACCTCTGCCTCCCGGGTTCAAGCAATTCTACCTCAACCTCCTGAGTAGCTGAGATTACAGGAATGTGCCACCATGCCCAGTTAATTTTTATATTTTTAGTAAAAACAGGGTTTCACTGTGTCGGCCAGGCGGGTCTTGAACTCCTGACCTCAAGTGATCTGCCTGCCTTGGCTTCCCACAGTGTTGGGATTATAGGCATGAGCCACCCCTCCTGGCTGGCACTGGACTTTTAAAATACTGCCAGCTTCTGGATTAGCTGGGCAAGGCAGGACTGAGGGTCCACCAATTGACTCATTCATTCATTCATTCATTTGGTCCACAGATACGGGTTGAGGGCTATGGACGGTGAGGGTTGGGAAGCCAGGCCGGGGAACCCAAGTTGTCGGGAGGTAGGGACAGGAGTCCTCTCTCCCTGCCACAGGTCTCCAGCCACATCCAGGTGCTGGCTCGTCGCAAAGCTCGCGAGATCCAGGCCAAGCTAAAGGTAAGGAAACTGCAGTGTGGGGGCTGGAGGGGCCGGGAGTGGGGGGCTTTCTCCAGCAGCATAAGTCTCCCCTTTGGGATCAGGGCGTGGCTGCTGATGTGCAACTCAGTGTGCTTCTCTCTGTTGAGGAGAGCCAGGTTGGGCCTATAACCTCTCCCATCAGCACAGGAGGGCCAAGTGTATGGACGTCCCATACCCTGGGAGCTACAGGCCAGGCTCCTGCTCAGATTCCCCACTTGCTGGCGCCTGCTTAGAGGAGCTCATATGGCTCAGAGTAGCTGGATCACTCGCCAGCGTTCATTTCTTGAGGGTCACTTAGTGCCCTCAACCAGAGCATGTGGAGTGGCAGGGGCGTGGGGGGTGGCTGCTGTGGGGGTGGGGGTGGTGTTTATGGTATTGTGGGAAGTCCTTCCCCAGGGAAGGACTGGGGGTTCCTTCCCTTCCCTGGGTCAACCCCGTCTTGCAGGGCCTCTGCTGATAGGTGATGGCTCTCAGGGGTCCTGATGTTGCTGGCTTTCCCCTTGGCGTGGTCCTGCTCATCACGGGAGTCTGGCCTCTGGGACCCTGGAACCAGGGGCCCTTTGGGTGAACACTAGGAGGGAGTGAGAGCTCCATCAGGGAGGTGATGACAACAGAGCCTGCACAGCCAGTCAGTGGGAAGATCTGACATTTGAGGCATTAGACTAGACCATTTATGAACATATTTATTTATTTATTTTTAGAGACAGGATCTCTCTCTGTCACCCACGCTGGAGCGCAGTGACGCAATCATAGCTCACTGCAGCCTCGACCTCATAAGCTCCAGCAATACTCCCACGTCAGTCTTGTCCTGAATAGCTGGGACCACAGGCAAGTGCCACTGCTCAGCCATTTTTTTCTATTTTTTTATAGAGACAGCGTCTCTCTGTGTTGCCTGAGCAGGTATTAAACCTGTGGGTTCAAGAGATCCTCCTGCCTTGGCCTCTCAAAGTGCTGAAATGACAGGCATGAGCCACTGGGCCTGGCCTATGTCTAACATACATTTGTTTTTTGAAGCAATGTAGCCCTTTTTCTTGTTTTCCCCCAACAAAATATCACCCTAATGTGTTATCAGAGGAGCCATTCTGGTCAAAGCTAGGTTGGCAAGGCCCCTCTCCTCCCATGAATCCTCTCCTACCCCATGGCGCTTGAACTCTAGGGGACGTCAGAACCCAGTTTAAAAGCCACTGGGAGGCCAGGTGTGGTGGCTTATGTCTGTAATCTCAGCACTTTGGGAGGCCAAGATGGGCAGATCACTTGAGGTCAGGAGTCGAGACCAACCTGGTCAACATGGTGAGACCCTGTCTCCACTGAAAATACAAAAATTAGCCAGGTGTGCTGGCTCACAACTGTAATCTCAGCTATTCAGGAGGCTTAGGCAGGAGAAACGCTTGAACCCAGGAGGTGAAGGTTGCAGTGGGCCGAGATGGTGTCGCTGCACTCCAGCCTGGGCAAAAGAGTGACACTCCATCTCAAAAAAAGAGCCACTGGGCTAGCTGGGCAGGCACGCCTGTAATCCCAGCTACTTGGAGGTGGAGGCAGGAGGATTTCTTGAGGCCAGGAGTTGGAGGCTGAGTGAGGTGTGATCGTGCCTGCGACTGGCCACTTTACTTCAGCCTGGGCAATACAGTGAGACCCCATCTCTAAAAATATTTTTTATATTAAAGAAAAGCCACTGGACTAGATGACCTTGAAAGTCCCATCTGGCCCTGGCAGTTGATGATCCTGACACTGGAATCTCAGAATGAGTGGGTGGGAACCACAGGCCTTTCTGCCGCCTAGGAAGCCACACCCCACTGCCCACTCAGTTCCATTCCTCCTGCCATCAGCCCAGCTGTTCCCCGAGTCCCCCAGCTGTGGTCTGGCACCTCGCTCCTGTTTCCCTGGGACAGCTGACCAGGCCTCAGCTGTTGCTCCCTGCCTCTCAGCCTGGCTCATGTACCCCAGGAGCACCCACAGCCCTGCAACCCAGCCCTGCTCCCTGTTTTTCCTCTCTCGTCTGCCTCTGACTCACTGGGACCCCACAGGTGACCACAGTGAACAGACTTCCCACTGCTGGGTTTAGGGCAATCCCTTGGGGGCTGGCTGTGTGGCCCACATTTGCTTTAGGGGATTGTACTTGTCTTTGTCTACAGGTTCTGACCTGGGGCCCAAGGACAGCCTTCAGTAGATGGCTGGACAGACACTAAGGGGAGCCATAAACTCCTTAAAATAAGCAAATGTTCATGTCTATGTGAGTTTCCCTGGAGAGATTGCTGTGAGGATTTTGTCATATTCTCAAAGGACCTGGAACCCAAAGTGATTAAGCTCTGGGTTGGACAGTGATCCAGTAGAAATCCTGAGTGAGAGGCTGGGTCCTAGGCCTGGCTCTGCCCCGTGGCCATGGGTGCTTGGGCAGAGTCACCAGAGCCTCCTGGAGCTCCGTTCAGTTTCCTCATCTGTAAAATGACAGACGAGCAAGGTGGCATCCGAGTTCCCCTCCTGCCACAGTTAGCGGCTCCTGGCTCCATTGCCCGGCCACTGCTGTCACTCCCCATCAAGTCCTTCCCACTTCCTCCTGACCCCTGCCCCACCCTGCCCAGGCCTGGTTTCCTGAGCTCCAGCCATTTGTTTAGGTCGAGTATCCAGGAAGGCAGGCACTGAGCAGATGCAGCCCCAGCCTCGTGATGCAGTCAAGCCCGAGATCTGTGGGCTTGTGGGGGTGTGCCTGCCAAGTCCCTCGTGCCCTCCTGCAGGGAGAGGTCGGGGGCTGGCCTCCTGAAAAGTGCAAGTGTCCTGGGAGGAGACATACCCTTAGACTTACTAGTTAGTTCCCTCTTTGGTTATCAGAGACAGCCTCTGAGAGCAAAGCCCAAGTCTGGCCCAAAAGGACAGTGGGGAGGGGGCCAGGAAGGGCCGGGGACAAACATCTGTTTCACTGCTTTGTCCACGTTGAAGATGACCCACTACTCAGAACGGTTCCCCCTCCCCACCGCCCTCTGATGTCAAATCCTGACACGTCTCCCTCCACCCCTTGGTCTGCACAGCCCCCTGTGTGCCAATCTGGACCAAGCTCACCTGGCCACCATCACCACTCTGAGTACCCTAGTCACCGAAATTCTCAGAGCCTCAGTTTCTTCATCTTAAAATAAAGGTCCTGCTAGTCCTGCTAGTCTCACAGAGTCAGAGTGAGGTTGTATTTTTGTTTGTTTGTTTTTGAGATGGAGTTTTACTCTTGTTGCCCAGCCTGGAGTGCAGTGGTGTGATCTCAGCACGGCACCCTCCACCTCCCAGGTTCAAGCGAGTCTCCTGCCTCAGCCTCCGGAGTAGCTGGGATTGCAGACATGCGCTACTACGCCCGGTTAATTTTTTATTTTTAGTAGAGACGGGGTTTCTCCATGTTGGTCAGGCTGGTCTTGAGCTCCCGACCCCCGGTGATCTCCCTGCCTCAGCCTCCCAAAGTGCTGGGATTACAGGTGTGAGCCACCGCGCCCAGCCGAGGTTGCGGTCTTGAAAACCTTCCATGGGCTACCTTGTGCCACATGGGTGAAATGGTCACCTTGAGAGGATGAGTGGAAAGGCCTGCTGTGTTCTGGCTCCACACTGCATGGCGCCAGGAGCACTGAGCCTCTCCTGAGCCTCCAGGCTGCGGTGCTGCCCACCTCACAGAGCTGCGGTAGAGACCTCGTGGAGGCATCCCTCAGAAGAGTTTCGAGCTCCAAGGCTCGCTGTTGCTTCTCAACTTCTGTGTTTACTTTATTTAGCTTTTAGAGACTCCCACTCTGTCGCCCAGGCTGGAGCTCACTGCAGCCTTGACCTCCAAGGCTGAGGCGATCCTCCTGCCTCCCAAGTAGTTGGGAGGTTCTCAACCTTTGTATCACTTAAAGGAGATCTAGGTCTACCAAGTTAATTATTGTTAATTATCCAATAATGGTTTTATCTTTCTCATTAAAAAAATTCATGGCTGGAGCAGTGGCTCATGCCTGTAATCCCAGCACTGGGAGGTCGAGGAGGGAAGATCGCTTGAAGCCAGGAGTTTGAGACCAGCCTGGGGTATAGTGAGATGCTGTCTGAAGATCATAAAGATATTTAATTTCTTTTTTTTGTTTTTTTTGAGACAGATTCTTGCTCCATTGCCCAGGCTGGAGTGGTGCGATCTCAGCTCACTGCAGCCTCTGCTTCCCAGGTTTAAGCAGTCCTCCCACCTCAGCTTCCTGAGTATTGTGGCCTACAGGTGCACACCACCACACCCAGCTAACTTTTGTATTTTTCGTAGACACAGGGTTTCACCAATTTGCCCAGGCTGGTCTAGAATTCCTGGGCTCAAGCGATCCACCCACCTCAGCCTCTCCAGGTGCTGGGATTATAGGCAGGAGCCACCTCGCCTGGCTAGATATTGAATCTCGCTCTCTCTTTTTTTTTTGTAATTAAAGATGGGGTTTTACTGTCTTGGCCAGGCTGGTCTTGAACTCCTGACCTCATGATCCACCCACCTCGGCCTCTCAAAGTGCTGGCATTACAGGTGTGAGCCACTGCACCTGGCAGATATTGAATTTTTAAACAGAGCTCCTGAGTTGACTCAGTCGAGCTATTTAGCCCTGATAAAGCTGCAGACAGTGAATAATACTTGCTGTTCCAGTCTGTGTGTGTGGGAGGGGGGATCTTATTTTGGATAATCCCTGCTGGGTACAGTAATGCATACCTGTGGTCCCAGCTACTCAGGAGGCTGAGATGGGAGGATTATTTGAACCCAGGAGTTTGAGGCTGCAATGAGCCGTGATTGTACAATACCTCAGCCTGTGCGACAGAGTGAGACCTTGTCTCTGAAACAAAACGGCTCACGCCTGTAATCCCAGCACTTTGGGAGGCCGAGGTGGGGGGATTACGAGGTCAACAGATCGAGACCATCCTGGCCAACATTTTTAGTAGAAACCCCGTCTCTATTAAAAATACAAAAAAATTAGCTGGGCGTGGTGGCACACGCCTGGAGTCCCAGCTACTCAGGAGGCTGAGGCAGGAGAATTGCTTGAACCCGGGAGGTGGAGGTTGCAGTGAGCCGAGGTCGCGCCACTGCACTCCAGCCTGGTACCTGGTGAGAGAGTGAGACTCTGTCTCAAAACAAAACAAAACAAAATAAAAACACAATTTCCGTTAGGCTTCTTGAAATAGGGAATGTTATGTCATTGGTTTTGAAGACCTTTGGAATTGGGGCACTCAGCATGGAAACCATTGGCTTATATGAATATAACAAATTATTACTGTTGTTACCAGTGCCATTCAAGTGGCTTTCCCTGTGTGTGTATTTGTCCTGGGCCTATGCAGAGTGAATCCATCTTCTGGGGTCTTAGAACCTTTGAAGGGCAGACAGTGAGTATTTACATTCTGACAGGTGAAAGATGAGTGAGTCCCGGTGCCTGCAGTGCCCAGGGAAGAAGTCCTTAGGGCAGGAACGAGGCAGGTAGGGCCACAGGAGGTGGTCCCTTGCCTCCAGACAGCCCATGTGGCCAGGGACGATGCTTCCTGTGCACTTGAGGAGGGATCCAGCAGATATTTACGCATCGTTTTCACAAGACAGGTGCAGAGCTAGGCACCCATGGTAGAGAGGTAAGCAAGGCATAGAAGACCCTTCTTCTCGAGGTGACCCCATAATTAGTAAAATGACAGATAATGTTTCTCTAAGCTCTGATGAAATAAGCAGGGCAAATATCATGCCGCTCTGACAGATGAGAAAACTGACCAGAGAAACCAGGTGACTTTCTCAGTTGCAAAACAAGTTAATAGCTCGGCACAGACCTAACGCCTGGTCCCCCAGCTCTGGCCACTGGCAGCAAGACAGTTTCCCTGACCTGAGGGCCAGACCCGCCTGGTCTCAGCCTGACTAGTGACCCTGCTGAGGTCCTCCCTTGCAATGTCTCCCCCAGGACCAGGCAGCTAAGGACAAGGCCCTGCAGAGCATGGCTGCCATGTCGTCTGCACAGATCATCTCCGCCACGGCCTTCCACAGTAGCATGGCCCTCGCCCGGGGCCCCGGCCGCCCAGCAGTCTCAGGGGTAAGTGGGCTGCTGAGAGTCAGAGGCCAGGCCAGCCCTCTCCTCTACCCTCCTCCCCCTTCAGAAGAGCCAGAAGCACTGGCCGGCCCAGATTTCTCTCACCTGAGTCCTATTGGCCAGGGCAGCCAGGGAAGGAGGGAACAAGGACCCAGGGGCCACACAAGTCCCAACTTGGCTGGTATTGGGACAGCTTTTCACAAGGGGGAAGGGGGCCACCCCCAGGAGCTGACCAATTGGTAGCTCTGCCAAGCTGGCCCAATTTACAGATGAGGAAGCTGAAGCCGAGGGAACTGGAGCTGAAGCCTGAGACCAGCGTGTCCCTGGGCAGCCCAGGCCACGCAGCCTCATTCCTGCCCTCCCGCCAGGTGGAGAGCTGGTGCCCAAAACAAAGCCCTGGTCAGATTTTAAATTTCCCACCCATGGCCATGTTGGGCTCACTTTCAGAATGATCCAGAACGGCCCCTTTTCAGAGCTGTCTCCTCACAGGGTTTTCTTGGCTCCAGGGACTAAGTGAGTCTTCAAGGCACCTGCAGCACCACCCTAGGCATGTGGGGAAGGGGCAGTGCCAGGCCCCAGCATTTTTTAAAGTGTGTCCCAGAGAGCACTAGTCTGTCTGCATGTTAAACAGATAGGACACAGTGGTTCTGTGGGTACGTAAGTATGGGACCCGTGTCAGTAAGCGAGCTCTTGGCACTGGGACTTTTCCAAGCCTTAGGTGCTGGTCTGCATTGTGACTCTGTGGGGGGTTCCCCTGTGCAGTGTGGACCACACCTCGGTGCTTTTCCCACGGAGCCCCTCATCCACAGAGCCTGAGAGCCCCCTGAAACACACTCTGGGCCTGTTAGCATTTACTAGCTAGGCGAGGGCTTGGGCTGCAGCCTCTCCTCCCAGTGGAGGCCCTGCCCTGTCCCACCCCCATCCCCATGCCACGGGGTCCCGGGTGCACCTGGGGCCATGCTGATTCCATGCCTTTTGCCTCCTCAGTTTTGGCAAGGAGCTTTGCCAGGCCAAGCCGGAACGTCCCATGAGTGAGTATGGCCTGGTTTCTGCTGCCAGTTGCTCCCTTAACTGAACTTGAACGCATAAACTCATGACATTGAGCCTGGGCTCCAGGGTGTGCTAGGGCCACTGCTGGGGTCAGCCTTTCAGGATGGCTTTGGGCTCAGGGATTGGGCTCTCCTGCTCTCAGGCATCACTGGGCTCATCTGTGATGTCCATACCGTAGGGTACTATTTGCCAAAATTCCAGGCTCTCTAGTGTATAGGTAGGGCCAGAGCCGGAGTCCCCCAGGGGAGGAGATTGGTAATGAGACCTCTGGCTGGCCTGGGAGGAAGAGAGGGAGGGGTGGATTTCTTCATCAGACACACTGTGTCTGCGGACCCACCACGAAACTGGAGGGAGTCAGCAGGGGTGGGAGCAGGAGGCCGAGGCCCGTCAGGACCACAGAAATACTGACTACCAGGACCTGCCACACAGACCGTTGGACCCAGTACAGGGGTCTGGGGCAGCAGCCTGCCCGAGGCTGACACCTCCCTCTCCTCTCTCCTGCAGTGTGAAGCCTTTCTCTCAACAAACCTATGCTGTCCAGCCTCCGCTGCCTCTGCCAGGTGGGTGGGCGCTGCGTGGCTCCCTTGCCATCGCAGCTGTGTGGCTCCTGCCTCTGGGCCCAGGTCCCCAACAGCCGAACGCCTACATGTCCCTCTTAGATGCTGCCCATCATGCACTGCGACCACACATCCCAGCCCCTGGCCACACCCCATTCCTTGCCCCCAGCATGCACACCTCAGCCAGGTGCCAAGCCCCTTTATGCCCCTCAGGTTGCCTTGCTGCCGTCCCCCTCCCAGCTGTGCTCGGGGCTTGTGGGGCACATGCAGTTCCAAGGGCAGTGCCTGTGCCTGGGCGGTCGTCCCACCCAGCTGGCCTTGTTGCTGCAGCGTGCCTCGCACACCTGGCTCCTGGGAGGGATGAGGGGTGTCCAGCTCACTAGCCTGGGGCTCCTCCCGGGAATAGGGACCCTTGTGGGAGAAGACCTGGTTGGTGGAGGCAGCCAACGTTGCCGACAGGAGCCCCCACCCCACCCTGCCACTGACAGGCTCCGCTCTGTCCTCGCCTCTTTCTCAGGAGGGGCTCTCACCGCCTCCCACTCTGTAGGACAAGACCAGCTCCTCATCCTTAAGCTGCCCTTTCTGGCGTGGAGTCTGCCTGCTCTGCCCCTTGGCTTTCCCTGCCACCGAGAGCAGCCCTGCTCCTCCTCTTGCCCCCAGGTCCTGAAGGCTGCTTTCTCTCATTTACACGTCAAAACCAAGTCACAGCATCGGGTCCCGTCTGCCCTCTGTCTCATGCCAGTCCTCTCCTGTCCATGCTGACCCTGTCTTCACTCCAGGCCTGCTGCCGGCTCTTGCCTGCGTCCCTGCAGAAGCCACTTCACCAGCTCCCTGTCCCCTCTCTCACCTCCTCTCATCACCCTGTCACTCACCAGAGCCTCAGTCTCACAGTGTTGCTTCCAGGCTTACGGTGCCTTCCTGTTCCCCTGGTGCCTTCAGGACATGATCTAAACTCTACAGTAGGACTGGAGTAGGTTCATCTATTAGCAACCCTGGATCAGGAGCCTCTTCTGGGCCCGGCCCTGTTCTGGGAGCTGGGGAGACACCTGTGACGCAAACAGGAAATGTCCCCATCTCTCGGGGCGATGCCACATGGTAATTGTTGATTGATCTGGTTATTTCTCCATCTGGAGCAGAAGTTGCTCGAGGGCGTGAACTTAACGGTGCCTGTTCTGGAAGCCTCTCAGTCCTGCAGGGCCCCGGCTGCCCTCTAGAATCCAGTCTTGCTCAGTGGTTCCATGCCGAGGCCTGAGTGGCCTGAGTTGTACCAGGCAAGCCTCTCCCTACCCGGGCAGCTCCGGGATGCCCTGGCCCAAGATTTACACTCCCTCCACCACCCCTGCTAGGAGGTTCATTTAGGGAGACAGGCGGTCCCCCTGACAGCACAGGTCTCCCTAAGGAGGATTGGGGTCCTTGCAGAGGGTGTGGGCGGGGCGGGTGAATGAGGTCAGGTTCCATGTACCTCTCTCGCTTTGTGCAGGGTTTGAGTCTCCTGCAGGGCCTGCCCCGTCGCCCTCTGCACCCCCGGCACCCCCGTGGCAGGGCCGCAGCGTGGCCAGCTCCAAACTCTGGATGTTGGAGTTCTCTGCCTTCCTAGAGCAGCAGCAAGACCCGGACACGGTAGGTCCTGGCCTCTGCCTGGCCGGTTCCCCGGCCGCCCCCTCCACCTCTGTTTCTGCCTCTGGCGCTCTTGCCCCACTCCACACTGGGGCTTAATTCAGGTTCCCCATTCCTTTCCAAGCTTCCCTTCCGTTCCTTCCCTCCACTCCTCTTTTACTCCTTCACGCCACTCCTCTTCCCTCTTTCCCTCCTCCCTGGCTTCCTGTCCATGTTCCAGTGCCCAGGCAGCCTCCCCCTCCTCCCTCCCTGTCCTGTGTTCCTCCTCCCCTTCTAACCCAACCTACCCTTAGTCTAAGGTTGCTCTGGCCCCAGCCCCACCCCCACAGTGTCCCAGCCTTTCCCTGACTCTGAGAGTCGGGCAGGAAGCTGAGGAGTCTCCTGTGTCTGCTTCACATCCTATGGGATACCAGCCTGTCCCCTTTGGTGTCCAGTGTCCTGGGTGACCAGTATCACCTGCGAAGGTCAGAAAAAGACCTAGAGGAGGCCAAGGTGACAGGATATCTGACATCTTCAGACCTTTTTTTTTTTTTTCCCTTGAGACAGAGTCTTGTTCTGTACCCAGGCTGGAGTACAGTGGCATGATCTCAGCTTACTGCAACCTCTGCCTCCTGAGTTCTCCTGCCTTAGCCTCCTGAGTAGCTGGGACTCCAGGTGCCTGCCACCCCACCTTACCTGGCTAATTTTTGTATTTTTAATAGAGATGGAGTTTCACCATGTTGGCCAGGCTGGTCTTGAATTCCTGACCTCAAGTGATTCACCCACCTTGTAATCCCAAAATGCTGGGATTACAGGTGTGAGCCACTGTGCCCAACTCAAACCTCTTTTTAGCTGAAGAACCCGTGAACCAAATAGATTCTTAGTCAGAAGTCCAGCATGTAAAATAAAAGAAAGAGATTTTCACCATCTCCATTTTACTCATGGGGAAACTGTAGCCCAGGAAGACCAAGCAACTTGCTCCAGATCACGTGGTGGGCACGTGGAGCCTGGGCTGTCTGTCTGTCTGTCTGGCCCGTGCTCCATCTCCCTCAAACCCACTCTCTCTGCAGTACAACAAGCACCTGTTTGTGCACATCGGCCAGTCCAGCCCAAGCTATAGTGACCCCTACCTCGAAGCCGTAGACATCCGCCAGATCTATGACAAATTCCCTGAGAAGAAGGGTGGACTCAAGGAGCTCTTCGAACGGGGACCCTCCAATGCCTTTTTTCTTGTGAAGTTCTGGGTAAGCCTATGATAAACTCTTCCTTTCTGCCACCGGGGCATTCTTGGTAGTGAGAATGGGGCGAGAGTGCCCAGAGTGTGCCCTTGCCATGGTGGAAACTTGGGGAGGCAGCACCAGTGAAAAGGGGAGAGCAAGCCCAGCATGGCTCTGTGATGGTTGGAGCTGAGCAGAGGAGTGGGGCGGTGATCCCAGAGAGCTAGTTGAATGAGGCCTTGCTTCATGGGTGTTGATGGCAGCTAAGCTTAGCAGAAAGCGGGGCCCTCAGGAGGTTTAGTTGGAGAAAGAGACAAAGGAGACCCTACAGGGATGAGTGAAGACGTGACAAGGAGTGCCCTTGTCACCCAGATCTTTGAATGGCAAGCCCCGCATTTGTTCCGGGCCTGGAGCTGGTCCTTCAGTGCTCATGTCCAAGGCATGCTGGGCTGGACAGAGCTTGGAGAAGGGGAGGGAAGTGTTGGATGGATCACCCAGACGACACTCTCCAGGGCGGGGCCACCCCAGAAGAAACACCTACTCAACTTCTCAGACAGCTCAGCCCATAGACTTGGCCTCTGCTGCCCTCCCACCTCACCTGTGGGCAGGTGTTTTGTGGGTAAAACCTCCTCCATTAAAAACGTCTTGTTGCCGGGCGCGGTGGCTCACGCCTGTAATCCCAGCACTTTGGGAGGCCGAAGTGGGTGGATCACCTGAGGTCAGGAGTTCGAGACCAGCCTGGCCAACATGGTGAAACTGGATCTTAAAAAATTAATTAATTAATTTAAAAAGAAAAGAAAAGAAAAAAAAGAAAAGAAAAGAAAAGGAGAAGAAAAGAAAAGAAAAAAGAAAAGAAAAGGAAAAGAAAAGAAAGAAGGGAGGGAGGGAGGGAAGGAAGGAAGGAAGGAAGGAAGGGAGGGAAGGGAAGGAAGGAAAGAAAGGAAAGAAAAAAGAAAGAAAGAAAGAAAGGAAAGAAAGAAAGAGAAAGAAAGAAACGTCTTGTCTCAGGCCAGGAAGTACAGTAGCTGATCTGGGAGCTTAGCTCCCTGGGGGCCCAGTATGTGCAGAAAAGGGGTGCAAAGAGAGAGTCAGACAAATAAGTACTAATGAAGCCAGCAGTGAGGAAGGGCAGGAAGTCAGGCTCTGTGACGGAGGCTTGGAACATTCTCAGGACATGGACTGAGGTTTGGGTGACTCCGCCTTCATTCCTTTCCCCAGTCCCCTTCAGTTCTTTTCACGCTCCTTTCAATGCCTCTTGTGCAGAGATTCTTACCATTTATTTGCTCCCAGACCGCTTACAAAAAAAAAGAATGGAAAGCATCATATTCTCGTCCTACTCCTCCCCACACCCAAATCCCAATCCCCAGAAGTAGTCACTGCTAATTTTAGCTGTTTATTTGGGCTTTATCTCTTTAGTTCTAAGTAATATGCTTATATTGCTGGATCTCAATGTCATGATTAAGACACTGTATTTCCATTCCATTACAGTAGAGAAAATTCAGCTGCATTATATTTCCCCATGTCATCGCAATGTAATAATATCCAATAAGTTATTTAATTTAGTAAAAGTCATAAAATGTTCACATTTTTTGACATGTATACTCATCATCAAAGCGCCCAGAGGGGGCTGGGTGTGGTGGCTCATCCCTGTAATCCCAGCACTTTGGAAAACCAACATGGGCAGATCACTTGAGTTCAAGACCAGCCTGGGCAACGTGATGAAACCCCATCTCTACAAAAAATACAAAAATTAGCCAGTCGTGGTGGCTCATGCCTGTGGTCTCAGCTACTCAGGAGGCTGCAGTAGGAGAATTTCTTGAGCCTGGGAGGCAGAGGTTGCAGTGAACCAAAATCGCACCATTGCACTCCAGCCTGAGTGACAGGGCAAGACCCTGCCTCAAAACAAAAAAAACAAAAGCACAAAGAGTCAAGAAGTGTATTATGATTACATTTTTACCTCTTGTACAACTTTTTTTTCCTGCAAATAAATGGCTCTTGCACTTGCGTATTTCTTAAGAAGCCTATTCTTAAAATTTTATAAATTGCTCTATCAGAACCACCATATAAAATTAAAACTTTTCTTCCCAAATATTCAAAACTGTTAGATAATTTATCAATTCCTCCTCTCTCCCAGAGATCTTTCTCCCAGCTGCCTCTGTTCTGCTGCCGTTCGAACGTGTTATTCTGTAGGCTTGCCCCACAGTTGTCATCCTGAGGCCCTCGTATATTGAATGTACAATTTCCTAGCTCTTACATTTCTCTCTATTGATATACCCCCTTCATTTTGCTGGAACACATCCTCTGGTACCTTCTAAGAAAAGATGCATGGTATGTAAATGACCTTGCTTCTTTGAAATGTCATTATTTTTATTATATCCTTATACTTGACTGATTGGTAGTCTGGGTAAAGAATCTAGATCATACATCATTTTCCCTAGAAAACGATGACTTTTTTTTTTTTTTTTTTTTTTTTGAGACAGGGTGTGTGTGTGTGTGTGTGTTTGTGTTTGTTTTGAGATGAAGTTTTGTTCTATTGCCCAGGCTGGAGTGCAGTGGTTCGATCTTGGTTCACTGCAACCTCCACATCCCAGGTTCAAGAAGTTCTTGTGCCTCAGCCTTCTAAGTAGCTGGGATTACAGGCATGTGCCACCAGGCCTGGCTAATTTTTGTATTTTTAAGAGAGATGAGGTTTTGCAGTGTTGACCAGGCTGATCTCGAACTCCTGGTCTCAAGTGATCTGCCCACCTTGGTCTTCCAAAGTGCTGGGAAATAATTTTCAAGAATCATTTTTTAATGCATTGTGTCATTATCTTTTGACATAGTTTGATAGCGTTCTAATTCCCTACCTTTTGTTATGTAACTTTTCTTTTTTTCCTCTGAAAGTTGTAGTATTTCTTCTTTCTCCCTAATATTCAGTTTCACGTTGGTGAGCTTTGGGATATGCGTTGTTTTACTTCCTAGTTTCAGCCAGGTAATTGGTAAGCACTTTGTGAGATTAATATTTCAGTTTTAGGAAATTTACTCATATTATTTCTTTGAAAATTTCTTTCCCTCTATTTTGTTTTCTTTTCCGGGAATCTCTATTAGTCTGATGTTGGATCCCTCTATGATTTTTACCATTTCTTTATTTTCCAATTCACTTTCTTGGTCTGTTTTCTTAGAGATTTCCTTAATATTATCTTCTGACTCTCTTCTGAATTAGTTAAGGTTGTGTCCAAGTAACATATCACACAAAACCTAAAGAAACAGTGGCATAAATAGTTTGTTTTTCTTTCACATCAAGGAAGTCTGGAGGGAGACAGTCCAGGCTGGCCCAGCTCTCCTGACATTATCAGGGCCCTGGCTTCTCTCTGTCAGCCATCCTCAGTAGATGACTTCTGTACTCAGGGTCATGACTGACAGCTGGTGTTCTTGCTGCCATATCCATCTTCCAAGCATCAAAAGAAGCTAGTTTAGCTCCCTGTAAGGGGCCTGCTGGGAAATCCTGCGTAACACCTAATTAGTTATATGGTTGCATCTAGCCACAAGGAACCAGGGAAAGGTACTTTTTTAGTTGGGTAAGTTGCCATTCTGAACAAAATCAGGGTTCTAATACTGTAGAAGAAGCTGCATGCATTCTTTTATGGATGTATCTTAGTTTAGTTGATGACATTTTGTTTTTTCTGGGTAGTTTATAAAGTATGCATCTTATAGTCAAGGGTGAATTAGATTAATGGCATACAGCAGCATCTCCGCCATGCCTTCTGTTGAATATTTAATATTGGCTCTGACATTTTAATTTTCTAGAGTTCCTTCTTGTTCTGTGATTACATCAAGATGTCTGATGGATGCAGTTTTTATCTTGTTTTTATTAAGGGTATGAAGCGAGTGTTATTTCTTAGGTTTTCTCCTGCTCCTAACCCTCCTCCCACCCACGCCCAGACTGAGTCTCTCTGTGTTGCTTAGGCTGGAGTGCAGCGGCACGGTCTTGGCTCACTGCAACCTCTGCCTCCCTGTTTAAGCGATTCTCCTGCCCCAGCCTCCCAAGTAGCTGGGACTACAAGCACATGCCACCACACCCAGATAATTTTTATATTTTTAGTAGTGACAGGTTTTTGCTACATTGGCCAGGCTGGTCTTGAACTCCTGACTTGAACTGATCCGCCCGCCTTGACCTCCCACAGTGCTGGGATTTAGCCACCGTACCCAGCCTCCAGGTCTTTTCTTTGTTTCTTTTTAATTCTGTTTTTCTGTCTGTTTTGATCCTTGTCTTTCCAGTTGGTGGGTTTTCTTTGGTGTCTTTAATTCTTAGCGGCCTGTCTGTATTTTTTAGCGGCTTTCTTGCAGTCTAATTAAACTTAACCATACAATTTACCTACTTATAGCATACAAGCCGGGCACAGCGGCCCACGCCTTAATCCCAGCAGTTTGGAAGACCGAAGCAGGCAGATTGCTTGAGCTAAGGAGTTTGAAACCAGCCTGGGCACATGATCAAAACCTGTTTCTACAAAAAATACAAAAGTTAGCCAGGCATGGTGGCATGTGCCTGTAAACCCAGCACTTTGGGAGGACAAGGCAGGCGGATTGCTTGAGGCCAGAAGTTGGAAACCAGCCTAGCCAATATGGCAAAACCTTGTCTCTCCTAAAAATACCACAATTAGCTGGTCATGGTGGTGTGTGCCTGTCATCCAAGATGCTCAGGAGGCTGAGGTGGGAGGATCGCTCAAGCCTGGGAGGCGGAGGTTGCAGTAAGCCGAGATCACGCCACTACACTCCAGCCTGGGAGATAAGGCCAGATCCTGTCTCAAAAAATAAAACATACAATTCACAGTTTTTTAGTATATTCACAAAGTTGTGCAACCATAAGCAAAATCAAGTTTAGAACATTTTCATCATCCCCAAAATAAGCCCTGATCCCTTTAACTGTCACTCTCCACTCCCACCCCGCCACCCCCCGCCCGCCCTGTGCAATAATCTACTTTCTGGCTTTGAAGCTTTGCCTATTCTAGACATTGTATATAAATGGGTTCATATAGGATGTGATCTTT